GAAATACCATGGGGTATCTACTTTAAGAAATGGTAGGCCTTTGTGGGATAGTTTGAATTTAAAGCCTGCTAAGATGCTTGGAAATTGCACAAAGACCCAGCGTCAACATTCAAAGTTCGGTAAAAACTGATATGACTTGGTCTCCAATGTGCCCCTTCAACATCCACATAACTCTGAAAAAGGTACACATGGGGTTATTGTATCACTAAGATGACATAGCTGAGCAACATTTTAGGTGTTATACTGCCGTAGCACACATAAGGATAGCAAAATATACAGTAACATCTCCAAGTGTGTGTCAAAAAGGCAGAAACAATGCTAATTGCAACTAGACTTGGTACAAACTAACAAAAAAATTATCCTACACTAAGGTTTAGAATATACCTTTTGAAATACCCTGGGGTATCTACTTTAAGAAATGGTAGGCCTTTGTGGGGTAGTTTGAATTTAAAGCCTGCTAAGATGTTGGAAATTGCACAAAGACCCAGCGTCAAAATTCAAAGTTCGGTAAAAACTGATATGACTTGGTCTCCAATGTGCCCCTTCAACATCCACATAACTCTGAAAAAGGTACACATGGGGTTATTGTATCACTAAGATGACATAGCTGAGCAACATTTTAGGTGTTATACTGCCGTAGCACACATAAGGATAGCAAAATATACAGTAACATCTCCAAATGTGTGTCAAAAAGGCAGAAACAATGCTAATTGCAACTAGACTTGGTACAAACTAACAAAAAAATTATCCTACACTAAGGTTTAGAATATACCTTTTGAAATACCCTGGGGTATCTACTTTAAGAAATGGTAGGCCTTTGTGGGGTAGTTTGAATTTAAAACCTGCTAAGATGCTTGGAAATTGCACATAGGCCCAGCGTCAAAATTCAAATTCGGTTAAAACTGAAATGGCTTGGTCTCCTATATGGCACTTTAGCATCCCGAAATAGTGCCAAAGACATACAATGGGGGTGTCATTTTACTCAGAAGACTTAGATGAACATAATTTGAGGGGTTTGAACTTAGTGGCACATGTTACAAAAACAAATGCAATCCATATGTAAAAAAATGCACAAAATTCTTTTTTACCACATATTTTGGCATTTATTGGTGAAAAAATGGGGGCATGTTAAGGCACAATATGCACCTTATGAGATACCCTGGAGTGTCTACTTTTACAAATGGTAGGCCTTTGTGGTTTTTTTTTGAACAGTCAAACTGTTATAATACCCCAAATGGAAGCATAGGCTCATTAAATCCGTCTCTCAAAATTCTACTGTGAATACTGAAAAGGACAGGTCTCCTATATGGCACTGTAGCTTCACGAAATAGTGCCAAAGACATACAATGGGGGTGTCTTTTTACTCAGAAGACTTAGCTGAACATAATGTGGGGGGTTTGAACTTAGTGGCACATGTTAAAAAAACAAAATGCCCAGCAAAAATGCAATCCATATGTAAAAAACGCACAAAATTCTTTTTTACCACATACTTTGGCATTTATTGGTGAAAAAATTGGGGCATGTTAAGACACAATATGCACCTTATGAGATACCCTGGAGTGTCTACTTTTACAAATGGTAGGCCTTTGTGGGTTTTTTTTGAACAGTCAAACTGTTATAATACCCCAAACGGAAGCATAGGCTCATTAAATCCGTCTCTCAAAATTCTACTGTGAGTACTGAAAAGGACAGGTCTCCTATGTGGCACTGTAGCTTCACGAAATAGTGCCAAAGACATACAATGGGGGTGTCTTTTTACTCAGAAGACTTAGCTGAACATAATTTGGGGGGTTTGAACTTAGTGGCACATGTTAAAAAAACAAAATGCCCAGCAAAAATGCAATCCATATGTAAAAAACGCACAAAATTCTTTTTTACCACATACTTTGGCATTTATTGGTGAAAAAATGGGGCATGTTAAGGCACAATATGCACCTTATGAGATACCCTGGAGTGTCTACTTTTACAAATGGTAGGCCTTTGTGGGTTTTTTTGAACAGTCAAACTGTTATAATACCCCAAACGGAAGCATAGGCTCATTAAATCCATCTCTCAAAATTCTACTGTGAGTACTGAAAAGGACAGGTCTCCTATGTGGCACTGTAGCTTCACGAAATAGTGCCAAAGACATACAATGGGGGTGTCTTTTTACTCAGAAGACTTAGCTGAACATAATTTGGGGGGTTTGAACTTAGTGGCACATGTGAAAAATACAAAATGCCCAGCAAAAATGCAATCCATATGTAAAAAACGCACAAAATTATTTTTTACCACATACTTTGGCATTTATTGGTGAAAAAATGGGGGCATGTTAAGGCACAATATGCAACTTATGAGATACCCTGGAGTGTCTACTTTTACAAATGGTAGGCCTTTGTGGGGTTTTTTTGAACAGTCAAACTGTTATAATACCCCAAACGGAAGCATAGGCTCATTAAATCCGTCTCTCAAAATTCTACTGTGAGTACTGAAAAGGACAGGTCTCCTATATGGCACTGTAGCTTCATGAAATAGTGCCAAAGACATACAATGGGGGTGTCCTTTTACTCAGAAGACTTAGCTAAACATAATTTGGTGGGTTTGAACTTAGTGGCACATGTTAAAAAAACAAAATGCCCAGCAAAAATGCAATCCATATGTAAAAAACGCACAAAATTCTTTTTTACCACATACTTTGGCATTTATTGGTGAAAAAATGGGGGCATGTTAAGGCACAATATGCACCTTATGAGATACCCTGGAGTGTCTACTTTTACAAATGGTAGGCCTTTGTGGTTTTTTTTTTGAACAGTCAAACTGTTATAATACCCCAAACGGAAGCATAGGCTCATTAAATCCATCTCTCAAAATTCTACTGTGAGTACTGAAAAGGACAGGTCTCCTATATGGCACTGTAGCTTCATGGAATAGTGCCAAAGACATACAATGGGGGTGTCATTTTATTCAGCAGATGTAACTGAACACAAAATAAAACTTTGTACAGGAATAGCACACACCAACTTTACAAAATACACACAAGAACTTGTTTGTTATAAGTTTGGGTGCCAAAAACTAAATAAAACACAATTTTACTCCAATATTTAGCAGAGGTTTGCGGTGAAATGGCTATGTAGAAAGTGTCAAAACAACCCTAGGTAAATAGCCTGTGATGTCTACTTTCTATAAATATATACTTTTGTGTGACAATTTTGTTTTCTTTTATGGCTATGAAGCTTACAAGACAAACATACCAAATTCTAAAATCGCTCCACATTAAAAGTTTATTTTACTCCTTGTGCTTTGTGACCTGTAACCAGTGGTGTATCCTGGTTTTGTGCTGCCCTAGGCAGGACAAAACTCAGGCGCCCCCCCCCCTCCCCCGCGCACCAACCCCCCCCTCCAACCCGCCTTCTAAATACATACACACACATACATTCACTGACAGATACGCATACACTCGCTAACAGAAACACACTCACTGACACACTCACACTCACTAACAGACACACACTCACTGACACAGTCAGACACACACATACACACTAACAGACAAACACAGTCAGACACACACACTAACAAACACACACACATTAACAGACACACACTCACTGGCAAACACACACACTAAGACAAACACAGTCAGACAAACACACTAACAAACACACACATTAACAGACACACACTCACTGGCAAACACACACACTCACAGACACAGTCAGACACACACACTAACAAACACACACACACACATTAACAGACACACACTCACTGGCAAACACATACACACTCACAGACACAGTCAGACAAACACACTAACAAAACACATTTTTTAATTTATTTTTATTTACCCCCCCCACCTCCTTACCTTTGGGAGTGCTGGGGGGGAGGGGGGTTCATTACCTCCCTGGTGGTCCAGTGGTTGCCGGGCTGGGCTGGGCAGGCGGCTGGCGAGGGAGCTCTTCCCCTGAGCGGTCTGCTCAGCTCCCTCGCGCCGCAAAGTGAGGCTGGGAGCCGGAAGATGACGTCATCTTCCGGCTCCCAGCCTCACTCTGCGGCGCAGGGGAAGAGCTCCCTCGCCAGCCGCCTGCCCAGCCCAGCCCGGCCGGTCAGTTAGCCGCGAGGCTAACAAAGCATTTGCCTGGGCATTTGGGGGCGGCGTTTTTTGCCGCCCCCTGAAAAATGCCGCCCAAGGCAAATGCCTTGTTTGCCTCGCGGCTAATACGCCCCTGCCTGTAACTACCAAAAAAAACTTTAAATCCCAGACACATTATATATTCTGTAAATCAGGACAACTAAATGAATTTATTTTTAATTACTTTCCTTAACCTGCACTAATTATGCACACATTATTATTGCAAAAACTGTAAAAAAAAACACAAAAAGTTTAATTTTTTTGCATATATCTGTATTTGTTTTTATAATAAATAACCATTTATATATATATGTGTTACATCAAATTAAAGCCCTTTCTGTCCTTTAAAAAACGATATATAATATGTGTCGGTGCAATAAATTAGTAAAATGCAAATTGCAGTTGAACGCAAACAGCAAAAAATGCAAAAAATGCTGTTGTCATAAAGTGAAGGACAAGCTTCTGAAGCTCTGTCCTTAAGGGGTTAAGGGGTTAAGTTTGTGTTGGTCTACGTCAAACTCTTTTTTTTTTTTTTTTTTTTTTTTTTTTTGTGCGGCCCACATAAACTTAAGCCTTGTATATTTGGCCCGGGTTAGCCTATGAGTTTGACATGTATGCTCTAGAGTCATATATTTGTCCATACTGCTTCATCTAATTTTATAACCATCATATATTGTCTTTTACAGATGACCAATAAAAATGACAGCGGTGACCTTGACATCTATGACAATATGGATGAATTAAATGAGAATGAAAGCTCAAAGCTTCACAGTTTATTTTTACCTATTGCTTATTCTGTCATTTGCATTTTTGGACTGATTGGAAACTTGCTCATCCTCGTCATATTTATTTTTTATGAGAAAGTCAAAACGCTTACTGATATATTTTTGGTAAACTTGGCAACTGCAGACATTCTGTTCCTCTGTACGTTTCCATTTCTTGCCTACCAGTCTGCCAAGAGCTGGATCTTTGGTGAAGTTATGTGCAGAATTATTCGAGGTGCATACCGAATCAATTTATTCACTTCAATGTTAACCCTTACATGTATCACCTTTGACAGATTTATTTCTATAACTCAGGCTACTAAGTTAAACCATGTTCAATTATATAAACATAAGTGGGGTGGAGGAATTTGTACAGCAGTTTGGATATTGTCTGTATTTTTGGCTATACCACAGTTTAAACACAGTACAACTGGACCTTTTAATAACATCTGTAATGAAATATATGAGAATTCTGTTATTGAGGTTTTAGTTACATCTATTCAAATGGCAGTTGGATTTTATGTGCCATTAATAGCAATGCTTATTTGTTATACTTTAATCATAAACACTTTGATAAATGCAAGCAGTTTTCAGAAGCCCAAGTCTTTCAAAATAATTTTTACTTTAGTAGTAGTATTTATTGCTACACAGCTGCCTTTCAATGTTGTAATACTTCTTTATACTTTAGGTACTAAGCTCCGAACACAGAATTCTTTTGTAAAAGCATTGATTATAAGTGAAGTCATTGCTTACCTGCATGCATGTCTTAACCCAATTTTATATTTCTTTGTTGGGATAAAATTTCGCAAAAATTTCTGGAAAATTCTGAAAGATTTAGGATTAGTAAAGCATTTCAATGGACATACTAATAATCTCAAGACTACAGAAGCAGACTCAAAAAATATCTCTGCTTCAACAAATGTAGAAGCAATTTGTATGAACCAGACTTAAAGGTACACTCAAAACACCATAACCAGTACATAACAGTGCAGTTTTTATGGTGCAAGGAGTGGCCTGGCATCTGCCCACTGAATGGAGTCAAGTCATTTTCCAATGGTTTGGCTTTTTATCTGGGGTCTACTAGGTGCCACTTCCCATCTCCTCTATAGTTTAGAGAGCTACAAGCTTACTCTCATTAGCTTATGTTTGCTTTCCTAAATTAAGCCTTGCATGACAGGGCTAGCACATTGGCTGAATGTGTCAGTGGATTGTTTTAGCCATGTTCTGCACTGCCAAGCTTAGCTCAGTGGAAAGAGTTTTCAGTTGTCACTGTGCAGTAGTGGAATGGGGAAGCTGCATCTGGTGGTCTCAAAGTTAGAAGTCTAAAATGGTTTGATTCCTTACATGGGTACTCATGGCACCATAACCACTACAGTGCACTCTAGTGGTTATGGTGCTTGAGATGTTTGTTAAAAAAAAAAAGAAATACAGTGAATCCTTAATCATGTACCATATAGCATAATAGCTTAAATGCTTTGAATGTTAATCTACATCCTTCTGCACAGTGCATTTTTATGGAAGTTGAATTTGTGTAGAAATGGTAAGGAGTTCAATTATTAATTAAAAAGCTTTTATTTAAACAAATGACTATTTGTTGCATTCAGGTGTTAAGGTCTTCTTTAAATATATACATGTGAACTCTTCAGGTTCAGCACCCATCGTGTTCATTTAGTAACATACATTTAATTAACCACCACATTCAAATTTGTTGTTGAAATGTTTAATCACACTTGAGTGCTCTATCAATATATAATAATTTCCAATAAATAATACCTTCCAAGTGGCCCTTAACCCCTTAAGGACACAGCTTCAAAAGCTTGTCTTGCACTTAAGGACACAATAAATTTTCAAATTCTTTGCTGTTTGCGTTCAACTGCCCCCATTTTTTCACCAATGTATGTCAAAGTTTGTGGTAAAAAATAATTTTGGACATTTTTAACATCCGCATTACTTTTTTGCTGGGCATTTTGTATATTTGACATGTGCCACCATGATCAAAGCCCCAACATTATGCTCAGCTAAGTCTTCTGAGTAAAATGACACTCCCATTGTATGTCTTTGGCACTATTTCGTGAAGCTACAGCGCCATATAGGAGACCTGTCCATTTCGGTATTTACAGTAGAATTTCGAGAGATGGATTTGGTGGGCCTATGTTTCAATTTGGCCCATTATAGCAGTTTGACGGTTTGAAAAACCCCCACAAAGGCCTACCATTTGTAAAAGTAGACACTCCACGGTATTTCAAATGGCATATTTTAAACCCTAGCGTAGGATCATTTTTTTTTACTAGTTTGTTCAGCTATGTTGTCTTAGTACAACAATACCCCCATGTGTACCTTTTTCAGGGATATGTTGATGTTGAAGGGGCACATTGGAGACTAAGCCATATAAGTTTTTTTCAAACTTTGAATTTTGACTCTGGGTCCATGTGCAATTTTAGAGCATCTTAGCAGGCTGATAATTCAAACCACACCAGAAAGGCCTACCATTTGTAAAAGTAGACACTCCAGGGTATTTCAAACGGCATATTTTAAACCCTAGCGTAGGATCATTTTTTTGCTAGTTTGTACCAAGTCTAGTAGCAATTAGCATTTTTTCTGCCTTTTTGACACATACTTGGAGATGTTACTGTATATTTTGCAATCCTTATGTGTGCTACGGCAGTATAACACCTATTATGTTGCTCAGCTATGTCGTCTTAGTACAACAATACCCCCATGTGTACCTTTTTCAGGGATATGTGGATGTTGAAGGGGCACATTGGAGACTAAGCCATATCAGCTTGGTTTTTTTCAAACTTTGAATTTTGACGCTGGGTCCATGTGCAATTTTAGAGCATCTTAGCAGGCTGATAATTCAAACTACCCCACAAAGGCCTACCATTTTTAAAAGAAGGTATTAATAACCGGATTAACCTGCATCAAACTCTGGGGCACTGCCTGTCAACTCTGTCTGCTGATAGAATTCATAACTTCCTAAGCATTTTTTACTTTTTACACAAGAACTTTAACTAAATAATGTTATAAAATAATTTTTTTTCTATTTTTTAAAAATCTTTTCACCCCTAGTATAACACTAAACTCCCCAACTTCCTATGAAGTACCACCCACCCTAATTAACTAACTGAAATTAGAAAAATTAAAATAATGAAATAATCAGAGTCAGAGGTAAGAATTGAAGAAGCCTCCTTGGCCCTAAACGTTGTCAGCAACTTTAAAATGGAAGAACTAAATAATAACGAAAACAAATGTGTATATATATATATATATATATATATATATATATTTATATATAAACAATGTGCAACTTAATCTCCCTGGGTGTGAAAAACTTTAAAACAGTTGCCAATACAAAGGCCGGGCTGAGAGGGGCAATCAGGGCAATAAAAGCTGGTTTCTGTCCTTATGCCCCTCTCTTAGCACAACCTGCACCTTTTCTGGGATGTCTTCTTTTTGGGGGTTGGTGGTATCTGGAAACAGAAGTGACCTGTCTCAACCCTTCTGCTGCTAGGCCCAGCTGATGGTTCCCCACTGTGGCACTCAGTGAGCAGCCCAGAAATAAGCTGAAACTGGAAATCCAGAAATGTGGATTTAATGTCAGCATTTGCCTTTTTGTACAGAATAAAGGTATTGTGAGTCGCCATTTGCATAAGGTAAATGCCAAGCTTTTTGTATCATGCCCTGGTCTTCCTCAGTATTAAATAGGGTTGCAGCAATTGGTCGGACAGGTCAACTCCCCCCATGTGCTTGTTATACTGCCTAATGCAGACTGGCACCCGTCTAATTTCTTGTCTGCCACGAACTGCGACTCTTCGAGTGTGCTCAGTATGCATAGATGTTAGCATGAACACCTCCTTCTTATCTTTGAATTTGAGAGCCAGCAGTTTGTCCTGGCAGAGAGCAGCCGTTTCCCCCCTCTTGAGCTTTTTTTGTGCCTCTTGAGCTTTTTTTGTGCCAGGGCTTTTGGAAACCGACACGTGTCTTTCGGATAGTGCCGCAGGCCACAGTTTCAAAGCAATAAAGCATCCTAAGAAGAGGGATGCTATTATAGTAATTGTCTATAAATAAATGATACCCCTTATTTAGCAATGGGTTAATTAAATCCCATACGATTTTTCCACTTGTCCCAATGATATCCGGGCAACCTGGGGGATCCAAGTGGCTGTCTTTACCTTCATAAACACGGAAGGTGTAAACATAACCACTGGCACTTTTTACAAAGTTTATACAACTTTATCCCATACCGGGATCTTTTGGATGGGATATATTGTTTAAACCCCAGTCTGCCCTTGTATTTCATTATAGACTCATCTACACAAATATTTTTTTGTGGGGTGTACATTGAGCCAAACTGTCTGTTGAAGTGGGAAATAAGCGAATCTTATAGAGATTATCGTATTGAGGATTATCTCTTGGGGGGCACTTCGAATTGTTGCTGAAGTGTAAAAAGCGAAGCATTGCTTCATATCTGGACCTGTTCATGGTCTGGGAGTAAATAGGGGTGCGGCATACAGGATTTTTGGACCAGTACATCCTGATGCTGGGTTTTTTAATAATGCCCATTAGCATTGTTAGTGCCCCATTTTTTTTTAATTCTGGCACACTGGTGGGGTACCAACTCCTTTGCCTGGCGACTCTGATCATTAAGTGTCAGGTACTGCACAGCAGTGGTTTGGGTGACTATATCCCCTAAAATATCATCCCCCAAGAATAGCTGCATGAAATCCAGTGCACCGTAGTTAGTGACGTCCAACTGAATTCCAATACTGCCAGTAAACTGGGATGTCAGGCGTGAAATCATTTAGGGGTTCCCAGTCACCAGCGTCATGAGCCAGGTCAGGGGACTCGGCGCTTACAACAGAGGGCCCTGCAGTATCTGGCACAGTCGGCTGCTAGTATATCATAAGCCTCCTCAGCAGTGTACCTTCTAGACATTATGAAGGCGTAACTCTAAAAAACTTTTTTTTAAACTGTTTTTTTTTTTACTTTTTTCTTTTTTTATCCTTTTTTCTTTTTTTATAGTTTTTTTTAAAACTTTTAAAAACTTTTCAGAACTTTTCTAAACTTTTCGTCTCTAACTAGCCTTACACTCAATTTACCAAATTCCCACTAAAGTCCACCCACTCCAGCTAACTAAGGAATTAACGTTAAATTAATTAAATAACAAATTAAATAAAATTAACCCCTAAGGGTTAAAAAAAATCAAAATTAACCCTTGAGGGTACAAAAAAAAGAATACTGATCACTGAAGGCAGTGATCAAAGGGGCAAGGAAAGGGTTAACACTGTTTTAAAAGTATTAAAGTTACACAGATACACTTTATACTAAATTGACACACAATGTCTCAGCACCGATCCGTCGCTCTCTCCACTTCTCAAACCACACAGAGGTGGAGGGAGGAGGATCAGGAATCCCAGCAGCACTGGCTGACTGGCTGTCACAGCGATCACATGTGCTGGGACCGCTCTACTGGTGGTTGCTGGTCTGCCTCTGACATCGAGGCACCCAGTAACAGCGTTAACCCCACGATCGCCGCCATATCCGCGATCTGGCGTTAACGTTAGTAAATGACAGAGATTTTCTGTCAACGGTCCTTAACGCACGGACAAGCTTGACAGAAAATCTCCATCTTTGGTCGGGAAGGGGTTAACCTTTCAAGTGGAGTTTAAAAAAACAAACCTATCTCAATGAAGTTGTTATGGTGCCATGAGGTCTCGAGCTCATTGTATATCCACATTGATTCACTTAAGTGACACCCTACTTACCCTCCCTCATTACCCACAAAGCCTTATTGGCTTTTTTAAATTTGTTCTTTTCATTTTCTTTTGCATAGTCCCTGTATTTATAAGTATATTCAATAAACTGTGAGTTTTAAATTATTTCTTTTGATTATTTAAAGGGACCTCATTGTGCCTTTTGGGTCTATAATAGCCCAATAAACACATCAGTTTTTTTCACTCGAGCACCATTTTATTAATCCTTACTTAATAGGATTAAACCATTCATTGGATTAAACTGGTTTTAACCCCTGTTGGTTCATGAATGATTTAAAGTCCAGCTCTTTTAACTGACTGTCCGACGCTTCATTGAGGAAGACTGGTAGCTGTTGAGAGTGTCAGCTCATGCATTCGGCCTATCCATAGCTCCCCATTCCTAAAACTTAGTGAAAAATATATTTGTCTTATAAACCTAATCATTGTGTATTTTCTACTGAACAGAGCCCCTCTCCCAATTTCTTGTTACTGTATTGTGATAGCTTGAAATTTTAATTGGTTAGTGGTAAAATATCAACATATTAGCATTAAACTTAATTTATACAGTATTCCGCACATTTAACAAGCATATTAACATACACACATTTAACAAACATATTAATGCTACAACAAAAGAAGTTTCTGCTATGCTCCAGTCCTCTTGCCCCTCCACCTGTTCCCTCGATCCTATTCCCTCATATCTCATCCGCACTCTGTCTCCCCCTATTCCTATCACTAAAATTTTCAATCTCTTTCTTTCCTCTGGCACATTTTCTTCACCCTTCAAACATGAAACCATAACCCCGATTCTGAAAAAGCCCAACCTTGACCCCAACTCCCCATCCAATTACAGCCCTAGATATAAATAGCTACTCCAAGATCCTTGAGAAAGTTGTGTATGC